AACTTTTTGTCCGAAAAGGCGAAAAAAGCCTCGTCAGCTGCGAAGTTAGGAGATATCTTGGTGGAACTTAAAGTGTTACAATGAAGTACTTAATTGTTCTTTGTGTATACAGGGACTTCTACTTTCGATTAGGTATCATTTTACCTAACATCACAAAAACTCGTGTTTCTCAGTTCCGCCAGTCTGAGTGTTGGTTGCGATACCTATGACGACACTGTGTGGTCCTGCGATTTTCTATAGCAGTTCCTATGACGACAGTATGTCGTCTTCGACGCAAGCCTATGTAACGGGCCCGGCAGTTGAGAGTCAACCGCGTCAGGACTGTGTCTCGAATCATGTTTTGGACAATTTCAAAGGAATCAGCTATAGTACATAAAATGTAGTTATTTAGAACGCTTTTGACAGCAATTTTCCTTTGATTTATGAAATTTACCTTCTTTGTCCAAAAAATTATTTTACTTTTTGAGTATGTTTAGTGAGTTTCTTATTTCATTATGTCGTGTTATGTTTCAGTCCTTTTTTGTAAGTTATTTTGATGCTTTGTGTACTATATAAAATATTATTTTTATTTTTTTATTCTAAAAAATAAATAAACCAATATATTTATAACGTGACGACAGGTGTGCGTCAGTGAAAAATTAGCCAATTTAAGCTAAAAAAATCTGCTTTATTGACTTTAGTAACAATGTGAAACTGGTAAACTGAAACTTGATAGTTGCTACTGGTGGAAAAACAATTTGATTAGCAATCCTAGAAACGACGCCGATTTTTATTAAAGTTAAAAGGAGTCATAGTAGCTACTGCTCCTTCATTTTTTAAAATCGGATCAGTGTTGCCTGAGTTATGAAAAGGAAGTACATACCATTCCCAAACCTTGCATCGTAGTTGGAAGGGGTCACTCAGAAAAACGTAGCAATGTTTCTAGGGTATAAAGTACATCCGTAAACTACAAAAAACGTTCCCATAGATTTAAGTCCTATTACCAAGGTAGAAGGCACTGATAAGACTGAGTGAAGACAAAACATGGATATTGTTTTAATAAGGCTATGTTGATATAGTTATAGTAACCGTTCTTGGGGCTTAAGTCATCTATGCCATATGGAATAAGTGAACAGATCGAGTCTCCGTACCATGGGCGGAACACTGCACAGACTAATCTTCAGCGCATCTGCTACTCTCTCCAGTACGCATGAAATGGGTACCAGGGGACGACCTGTCGGACTTCTCCATTAAACGTATTTCCGGGAATTGTACAATTTTATACTGAAGATTGATAACAGGACAACTCGAATTGCACGCCAATGTCAAGTAAGTTATCACTCTTACAAATATGATTGAAGGGCACTCATACGTAGCGCCAAAGTTTTCGAGACGGAGACACACAACTAAAAAACGTATGTCTTTGAGCTTACCGAACAAACGTTCACACACAGGGGTAGGTTGCATATGTATGTTTGAGGAAGATGGAGATATATAAAGGGATACTGGTAGTCTTTCTTTGACCAGCCAATAACGGTGACTACAACTATATATAAATTATATCCTAATAAACTAAGGTGGGTGGACCATGCAAATCTATGCTCCTTGTAAAACCAATTATGAAAGGGTCATAGCCGTCGCCATGCGATGACAAATTCTTCAGGCTTACTTACTGAAGGTCACAGACACGGGGGCGCACGGTGGTCTACTTGTAGATTCTGTGGTTTCTACAAAATTTTCAATAAATATTTTAATCCACTCGAAAGATATATTTTTTTCGATTTGCTAATTATAACTTTAATAACCTGTATCTCGGTAAGAGAGCATCTCAGGACTTATGTTTGTATGATTTTTTTGTGTTTCGATATACTTTCTATCCTAGAAATATTGACAAGTTTTCTTTAATCACCCTGTATACATATCCTTAGCATCGAATTATCTTATACTTTAACTGCCACGATAGCCTAAAGCCTAAATACCGTGGTTCAATAGAGAGATACAAGGAAAAGGGCGTCACACATACTATGTTTGCATGTGACATCACACAATCTGGCCCGATCTTAGAGGTCCGCCGGGCGGTGTCTCCACGTTCAACCATGTACCACCTACGGACAATCACAACATTCATAACCAAGAGAAACAAACTGTTGGGGCAGTATTCCAACCCTCACGTCTCACGGCGGACTAACATTTTCTATAGTCTTACCATATTCAGCAATGAAACTACACCATCTGCACAAATGAATCAACATATTCCCAATATTCTTGGAAAAATATCGTGTTCCACTTGATTAGCTTGTTGGCGTATTTCTTCATACGTATATTATTATATGAGGGTTTCTCCAAGTACCGATTGTCGAATTCCTTCATTGAATAACCTGAATAGTTAGAATTGCTCAATGGGATTGACTGTCGATATCTAATATTTACACTCATTTACTATGCCGTATTGTTATTCTCCGCCATGTCAGTTCACTGCATGTCAGCAGGTATAACTATCCAGAGGTATGCGAATTATTTATACGTAATACAGGAGTTTCATCATACAGAATGTGAGGTAACAACGTTTTCTGATAATCTGGATGAATAATGAAATAGTTGTCCGTTTTTCAGTATGGTGGGAAAGCACATAGACTGACGAGATGGAAGCTTAGACCTTTAATTGTTCTTCAAGATACAGAAAAACATATTGCAAAAAGTTTGTTCAGTACAGCCTAACAGATTTTTTTAATCGATCGATTTTTAGTATGGTGAACAAAGGTTATTAGTTTCCAGTACTTCTCCATAATATAAAGATAGTTGCCAATATTGTTTACTGTAGTATGCTGCTTTCCCATGCAAACTGCAATCCGATCTGAGGATATGATTTGCACGAACTAGATATGTCTTGCTAGGTGTTGCGTCTACTGCACAACTCATACTTGTTGCCCTTCCGAGGGTTTCAGCATCGGCGAGCGATTTGATGATCTGACTGTTTTCTACCGACGTCCCATCGCGAGAGTAACGTCTGTAGATCCTGTCAGTTGTATACAAGCCACAGATTGACACCAATCTTGAAAGTCTTTAGCTTAAATGCTAGAGAATCGATGATGTCCGGATAAGATCATTATATTATAACTTCACCGACATCATTCTTCGGTAGGATGATTTACATATCTTAGTGCCTCGCCAGTCACCAAGCTTTGCCAGTGCCTTGTATAAATTCGTTAAGAGCAACCTCATTCAACCACTCCTCTAACTCTTGTAAACTGGAAGCCGTCGATACGTGTTGCAATGAAATAGCCCACAGCGTATAACAATGCCTATATATCAGCACGTGCACTTGTAACTTTACAGAAACAGAGGTAATAAAACGAAGTGTAAAAAGCAGAGTCCCATCGAACCGGGAGCCAACCGGCTACATTTCACATCGAGCAGCTACATTTTACGAGCACTTCCCTGATTTAATGTCAGCAACATGGTAGGCAGCCGTTGCCTAGATGTTGGCGCAGGCAATGGTTACTGTAAAATGCACAAAGCCTGTACATGACTGGATTTATCAGCCTTATCCTGGTGAAAGGCGCCTCTATAGGCTAATTTGGACATTTAAGGAACGCTTTCTCTCAACTTGCCTCAACAATTATTATTATTGATAGGCATAGCTATACTATCTGTAATCAGCAAAGTTATGGAGAAAACATGCTTATTACGTGAAAGGCCGCAACCTCATGGTTGTTGACGTTGCAAAACTTGCTCACGCTACTAATCGTCGTTGCTTCTCAAGGTGATTTGGAGAACCTTAGCCTTTAGGTCATAGTCTGTGTAATGTCAGTGTCTTGTCGTTAGTTTTTCAGGTCTGGTGGTCCAGAAACCAGACAAATTGTAGGAGAAAAAGGAGAGGGAGAGAGAGAGAGGAAGGAAGTAGGAGCGAGAAGAGAAAGAAAAGTAATTGCTTTATGTTAATATTTGAGGTGAAAATGATCTAGGGACTGCTACGTTGTACTTTATAAATTGTGACTTGTCTTAAATCAAATTTTGAGTTTTTGGTATTTAAAACTATATTTTTGAAGGTCTAAACATGGATTTAATTTTGTTCACAGTGTGAGTCGCGCCCCGAAATGTTTGCGTATCTCCTCGACTGTGTAATCTGCTACTTATAGAACACGAAATTGTTCGATAATTATCCATGTCTGTATCGTCGCGTTTCTTGGAAACGGAATAAGCTCTGCAACTACTAGGACAGTCTGAAAATTCGAAAAATGGATTAATTCATAACGAACGCTGCGGGTGCCGCAATCTCAGAGTACACATATTTCACAACCCGCGCTGTAACATCATCACAACCATTAGACTTCTTTTCCGGTAAATCACTGATGATTTCCTTGACTTCGGCTTCCGTTATCCGATCGAAGACCATTGAGTCCAACGACGTAGCTTGTGAGGTACAGTCTGCACTTAGATTTCCCTGAAATAAGGTACTTTCGCTTCTTCAACTGTTGAGAAGTATGCGATGAATTCATCCGGTGTAGTATCTTCTTCGATGTTCTCACCGTCTTTGGTTTTTAATAAAATGGTGGATTAATCCGTGACACGCCTACTTCATTAATCACAATTTCCCAGATTAGTCGTGGTTTATTGCTAGCTGTTTCTAATAACTGTCCGTAATACTTCGTATTATATTATCATTTTCTTATCTCGTTTTTTCCTTTCTGTATATAGCTGTATTAAATCTTTGTTATCCTGAGTTCCTTTTAACATATTGTGTAGATCCGTTAAACATTGACAAGACTTTTTGACTGATAGGCACACCCAAGGCTTCGAGCGTCTGATTGAGACACTCATCACAACAAACAAGTTAGCTACTGGATAGTGACAATCGAAGCAGGTAGCATACCTTCTTGCACGAGTTGTGACCGATTCGCCACTTAGTCTCCAGTGTGGCTCTGTCCTAAGTGATAAGCGGGTCGAGTATTTTCTCATCTGGGGCATAATATCAAAGTTTCCCTACTTACCTACACAAAAAATCCTCCTACTTAGCTCAGTTGCACGTCTGTACACCTCCAACGCCTGACGCGCCAGCCATATCGATCGTTCCTTCACCGTGTGGGACCGCACATCCTCCAAAACAGCCTCTGCCCCCCCCCCAGTCTTTACACTCCCTAACTACCGATCCTAGGCATTCCCAACTCCCTACGGTTGAGCCGCGTAGTTTTGCGCCACACATCAGGATGCACTTGGTCGCTTCAGAACACTGCTCTCTTGGCGGAAAACACAGGTACGTATAAAGAAGTTGGAGGGGTTGGTGGAGAGGAATAGGTACATGGAGAAATTACTTCAGGAATGTTAGTCAATTTGGGTAACATCGATGAGTATACGTATTTTGCGTTTCATTTAGGAAGTTATTAAAACGCTTTGCCCAGCAATGGCCTAGCACGTCTTATTTTCAAGTACCTGCTCTACCTACTCAGAAATACATGCCATTTTTTCGATTAAAACAAAATTGACGTTATAAAAACTTACTCCTCTTCTTATTTCCCCCCTCAAATCGATGAGGGGCCGAGGCTTGCTTTGGTAAACTTTTGATTTCAGGTGACCCCATACACACGTTGACAGGTCCGGGGAGCAAGGGGGCCATGGAATATCGCCATGACGTGAAATGAGATTTTTGCCGAAAAAGTTCCATCGAAGTGCGAGCTGTGTGAGATGTTTCCCAGTCTTGTTGGAACCACACTGTTCTGAGACGGACACGTCGACGTAGAAGTTCCGGGAAAAAAAAGTTGTTCAGCACGGAACGATTCGGGCTTTGCACCGTGTCAACTCTCACTCTGTCTACGTTTTCGGGGGTTCTAGCAGTACGGTTTCGCCCTAGCGGTTTTTTCATCACATTACCTATTGTGTTGAATGCTTCCACCCATCTCAAAATGATGTTACGGTCTGTTACCGCCCCATGACGTGGAACACGAAAGTGAACGCGAAACTCACGTTGCGTTCGTACGACAGACTCGCCATTTTGAAAGTACCGACGTACAGTGAACACTCGATGCTCAAAAACATGCGTTCTTTCTGACGGACCGTGTATATGTGGACGATTAATTATAAAGTCGCAAGCTAGGTCTGTATCTAAGGAAGTCAAACAAGATTATTTTTTACATTTTAAGTGCCAAATTGGGGATCAAGATAAAAGTTGGGCTCCTCATGTTTGTTGTGTGAGATGTCACGTGAATTTAGTGCAGTGGATGTATTGCAAGAAAAATTATATGCCGTTTGCTGTTCCTATGGTGTGGAGAGAGCCTACTGACCATGTAAGTGATTGCTACTTTTGAATCACTAAGACAGAAGGAATTTCAAAAAAGCATAGAGACAAAATAGAGTATCCTAATTTGCCTTCTGCGCGAAGCCCAGTTCCTCATTGCCAGGAACTACCGGTACCGATAGCGCCTTTAAACCTGGACATCGTGTCTCCCGGTGATTCTAATTCTTCATCAAAATTTGGTCCATAACTTCGCGAGAACAGTAGTTGAGACAACATTTTTACCAACCGCTACATTGCTAGGACTTCAAGGAGGTTTTACAAAGTACTACTATTTTTTGTGTCTATAGGACACTAGGGCAACAAAAGAACACTACAGTAAAACGGATTGGCCTCATAAAACCTCTTTTGAACCTGGAACTGCAAATATTAAATATACTAAGTGACATACAAATCCGAACACCCAGTTTAAATGGTTTTATTTTAATAAAAGTTGGTGAATGTTTTTATCTTACTGTAAATAACAAGTGAAAAAATGTTCAGCCTTATCAGTTGGACATTCCGGTTTTTATACTGGTTTTTTTTAATTCACTAACGCTCTAAAAATGAATATTTCAGCCGCAGTAAAGAATCAACGTTGGCGGATTTTGGTTCTTGACATCCTTTACGATCGGTTACGATGCCTAGAGTACGGAGACCTGTACGATTTCGTCAACTTAGTGAGTTTGATAGGGGCCGTATAGTGGGACTTCGGGAAGCTGGACTTTCTTTTCGGGCAATTGCAGTTAGAGTGCAAAGAAGTGTAGACACTGTGGTTAGGTGTTGTCAGGCATGGCTTCGAGAAGGTCGTACGCAAAGAGCAAGGGGCACTGGACGCCGCCGTAGAACAACAGGCCGTGAAGATCGCCGCCTAAGATTATTGGCCTTAAGGGACCGTTTCTCCACTACCAGGTCCATTGCAAATGAATGGTTTGCAGAACACGGAAGTCCTATTGGCATGCGAAGTGTTTACCGACGAATGAGAAGTTTTGGCTTGTTTTCATACCTGCCACACTGGGTCCTCACTTTAACTCGAGAACATCGACGTAATCGCCTTGAGTGGTGCTGACAACGGTCACTCTGGGATCAGGAATGGAACAGTATTGTCTTTAGTGACGAGTCTCGATTTTGTTTAGGCATGCACGATGGTCGTGCCAGGGTTAGAAGGCGACGTGGTAAAAGGAGGAATCCACAGTTTTTTGTTGAAAGACATGTTCATCACACTGTTGGAGTTATGGTTTGGGGTGCTATAGCTTATGGTTCCAGGTCACCTTTAATCTTCATCAGAGGTAACATGAACGCGCAGCGTTATATCCACGAAGTTCTAGAACCCCATCTTTTACCCTATCTTGACACCCTGGCAGATCCAACTTTCCAACAAGATAATGCCCGACCACATGTTGCAAGAGTCACAATAGATTTCTTTCAACATAATGATGTCACATTGTTACCATGGCCACCAAGATCTCCCGACTTATCCCCAATTGAGCACGTGCGGGATATGATGGGTAGGAGATTGCTCAATTTGCAACGTCCTCCTCAGACTCTAGAAGCACTTCGAGAGGAGTTGGTGGTTGCCTGGAATGAGATACCACAGGAGGACATTGACCACCTGATCAGAAGCATGCCTAGGCGCGTTGGAGAATGCGTAGCACATCAGGGTGCATCCACACATTATTAAAGGTCAAAGGGCTTTAAAGCAGTGCAATCATTTTGAAATTTTTATCATTTACTTATTATGCTTCATTAAGTACTTATACAAAATTTTATTAAAATAAAACCATTTAAACTGGGTGTACGGATGTATATGTCACTTAGTATATGTTAACCAAAAAAGGTGCTGCTACGGCCTCTCCATATTAAGCTTGGGGTAATGAAAAACTTTGTCAAAGCCATGGATAGTGGTTTCCAGTACCTAAGAGGAATATTTCCTCAACTAAGTAATGCAAAATTAAAAGAAGTCACATTTATTGGACCTCAGATAAGGAAACTCCTAGATGATCTTCGTTTTCAAGAACAATTAAATGAAAAGGAACTGGCAGCTTGGACGTGTTTTGTACATGTAGTGAAAGGATTTTTGGGCAACAAGAAAGATGAAGACTATAAAAGCCTCCTGAATGAACTGTCGAAAACCTATGAATTACTAGGGTCGCATGTCTCTAAAAATACATATTTTGCACTCCCATTTGGGTGCTGTAACCGACAAACAAAGAGAGAGGTTTCACCAGGACATCAAGACGATGGAAACAAGATACAAGTGACGCGGGAACCCATCAATGTTGGGCGACTAGTGTTGGTTTTTAAAAAGTGATGATGCTACAGAATACAAAAGAAAGAAGTGATACCTGACGTATTATTTTATATGTACAGAGATTTCAGCAGTTTCAACATCACTCATTTTCAAACCGATTTAGTTACTTATCCTTGGCATAACGTATTTAATCGAGAAGATATAGATGAAAAAGTATCATGTCTAACTGTCGGAGTTATATATATTTTTGAAAAACATGCACATGTGAAAATTTATTCGTGTAAGCAAACCTTATGTTGATTGGCTTACACCAGATGTCAATACACTCATGAAGCAAAAGAATACGTTTTACAAAGGCTTGAAATCAATTGATGTACAAAAATCGAAAAACTAAGGAATTCATGTCCGCTTAAATGATCCATTGGAGGTAAACAATTGCTTTTGTTAGATTTTCAATAAAAACTTGTAAACATACTTACACTTGAACATTATAAGAAATCGTTTTTATGAACGTGAATTCAATTTTAAGCCGATCACCTATGAAGACTAATCTTCAATGCTCCATTCATTGAAATCAAATGCTTTAGGATCTGATGGTTATGTTTTCCGGTAATATCTATTTACATTCTACATATAATAAATTCCCGCTTAGAAAAAAGTATGTTTCCCAATTCGTGGAAAAAAGCTCCTGTATTACCTTTACCAAAAACGGACAATCCAACGACATACGCAAATTTAAGACCTATTAGAATTTTACCTTTTCTCTCAAAATTATTAGAAAAAGCAATGTATATCCAAGTTAATGATTTTGTCTTAGAAGCTAGTATATTACCTGAGAAATAGTGTGGTTTTAGATAATCCTACAATACCGTTGAAGCATTATTGGACCTAATCGACAAAACATTGCTAAAGTCTGAAACCATCAACCATTAATTCTTTTAGATTTCACCAAAGCATTTCGTACAATGATAACATGGTTTCTATAATAACTCGTTGTAGTTGATGAATAGCTTTCTCACAAATAGACCCCAGAGAGTCGTTATCGATACAGACTCTTCGCCTGAATCTTTGATTTCCCCGGGAGCAGCGCAAGGCTCAGAACGTGAACCACTTTTGTTTCTCTTTCTTAAGCAAAATTGTAAAGTATTGCAAAATTCATTTTTTTGCAAACGATTCACAACTATATTTTAGCTATGATCACAGTAACATAAATACTGCTGAAGTTCGTCAGAAAATTTGAAATCTATTGAAACTTGTGCCGCCCAACATAACCCTCAGTTAAATCCATCTATATATTTTTCCGCTAAAGGACTTAGAAGTCATATTAAACCTAACTTCATCATGAGGCAGTGCTATTCAAATTGAGGAATCCGCAAAAAGTTTAGGAGTATTTTTTGACGATAGCCTTGGGTTCATACCTCACGTAAATAACATTACTAAAAGATGTTTTGCTGCCTTACGTCAATTATATCGGTAAAATTCTTCATTATAGTACTAAAAAATTCCAAGCAAAACTAGGATAATGTCAAAAATTACTTACGGCGACTTAGTATATCATCTACTTTTAGATTCTACATCCGTGAAACGTTTGCAAAAAATACAACATTTTTGGAGTAGATTAATTTTTAGCCTACGAAAGTAAGATTAGCTCGTAATTGAATTGGTCAAATGTAACGAAGTTGTTTAAGTTTTACCTATTATCATTTGTGCACAAAGTTCTAAACACATCACTTCC